TATATAAAATTAAATTAGAAAATCAGCCATGCAATGTCTAAACTTTAAAGAAACACGAGCTCAAGTTTAAGAACTTGACATGTTTAAAACTCAAGTTGCAGGAATAGTTCTGTTTTCACAACACCTTGTGAACATTTTATGTTTGAACTGTTAAATTGAAACTCTGAATTTGTTTCCAAAGTCTATGAAGATCATGTCAAATTACCTACCTCAAACAGCAAAATTACTCCTTTTTTTACACCTAATTTTCAACACTTCGACACGGTACAGTAAATAAACTGAGGTGTTTAAGGGGTGAAAAACGAGCCTTGGACTTGCTTCTGTCGCAAGATAGATCGCCAGCCGTACATCTCGGGCTGATAAGCGCCATACATCATCTGCCCTTATAATAGGGCAGTGACACCAGCAAGGGTTCTAAACTGCGGCCCCGGGGAGTCATTTTAATATGTCACAACGACGCCAACTCCTTATTATTTCCTTTTCGAATAAAATGGAAACATCTCGAGGGCGCGAACACATTTGTCTCCTCGGGCCATTTGAGGCCGTTTCGTTAGCGGTTACGTCATTATGCGCTTTGCATGCGGGACTTCGGGAAATCGTCTATAGGGTGATTGAAAATGATTCCTAGTCTGTGAAAAGGTTTGCAAATATAAAAGATTGTTTGCGAATAGTGAAAAAAGTGGATGTGTGTAGTGGTAGGATCGCAGACGTTCTTTCTTGGAGTCTCGGGTACAAACCCCGCTAATCACCAATAGATATTAGCAATGTGGTAACATTGGCTAAATGCTTCGAAGCTCACCTATAGCTGTTAACTTTAAAACGAAATCACAAGCGTTTCAGGCGAAAAGGAACTCTCTTTTATAAGAATGTTCACTAAATATGAAGATTATTTTCCAACGTTTTCCAAAGTGATAGTTAAAATATCCGGGTTAAGGATGTTAAGGGTATGATTATATGATGAGGAATTATTTTACAGCACACTACAATTCTGCAATTGAAAATGTTAAAATGTTGTACACAAATGCTGTTTCAGGCGATTGTGAGTTTAAACTTAGTACTGTACAGTAATATTTTTAATTATTAGGATCGAAAATTCTGTTGTTTTAATTAATAGAAAGACTTTCACTTTGTATGAAGAAGGTTTTTTTTTCTATAAAAGAAAATTATCTTGAGCTGCTACAGGAGGATTGTCTAATTTCACCTACTATACAAAGCTCATGAAAGTATAACGCCATCCACCTTTAGTCCTTCCAAATACCCTTCGCAACAATACAAGTCGCGATGTCAGCACTTTTGGCGGGAAAAGTGGCCCTTACCCGGGAAAATTGCCTCCAACTAGCGTCAGCGACGGGACAATTCAAGTGTCAATCGAAACACGTTAATTTGGAAGCATAAAGGCACTGACACAATTACCGACGCGACAGGTGTTGAATTGATGAGTCAGCAGGATGCACAAAAAATATTGATTTTGATAATGAACCGCCCCAACGGCTGTTTGGTTTCCAATTTTGAAACGCGGGGCAGAACGGAGCTCTTTGTCAACACGTTTTCTTCCGCGGAGTGTTATCAATCACGTTTTATTGATGGGGAAGATGCGCTGAGTGGGGTGTGTTTGACGTTCTTTGAGTGTCTTGTGGAGTTTTTTTATAATTTATTTTCGAGTTAAAATACTTCATCTGCGTGATGTAATATACAGTAGAATTGGGATTATGGTTTCATTTTTCCGAAGGAAATCCAGCAAAGTTGTATAATAGCATTAGATTTTGTATAGTGAAGTAGACATTTTATCTATGGACTGTCTGTAGACTATTTTTTATTCAAGAAGAACATACTTGCATACGCTACACATATACAAAGCACCAAACAAACTATAACATGCAATTTTCTGCCTTGGTTTTTGTTTCTTGTGATGCCGTAGTTGATGGGACTCAAAAGTCGCTATAACTTACTTAAAATTTGGCTTATTCAACAGAAATCAGTAATTTAATTTACATCAGCGCAGTCCGTCGGTGACTCAGTTTAACTACTAATATCTTCATTTTAAAAATCAATATGGGATGGAATGTCTATAGTCTGTATAATAAAACTTGTTTCCTGACGCTCTGTGGACAACCTGGGGACTTGCCAATGGTTTAAGTCCCAGTAGACCCGGCCAGTAGACAGGATCTATCACGCAGACTATAGTTGTATCAAAAGCCAAAGATAAAAGACTATATTAAAAGCTACAGTTCGTTTCTAGTTGCGTTTGACTCGGTCATTTTACCACATTCCGTCACTGGTCCAGTAGTCAGAGTAAATATCGACCGGGTGTTAACTGTAGCGCCACCTAACGTGTTAACTACAAGTGTCGGTCTACTGTTCGTCCTTCATTCAGATTGACTTGAATAGTAGTGTGTCCATGTTAAACATTCTGCAACTGTTCGTTCCAGATTTGGTTGTTAACCTTTGTGTCAATACACTGAATGTATTGCAATCGTATGACTATAAATGTTACCACTTCTATGGAAAATTGTGTATTAAGTAAATAGTTTGATGTTAATTTTAATTTGCTTTCTACACTCAAATGACTGTTAAGTTTTAGGAATTCAAGAAAAGCCACGCATTCACGAAACTGTGGTTAAAAATGTTGTCTTTCATATAAAGTATCCGTCTTGACTCTATCGGTCGGAGTTGTAGAACTTTGCAAAACCATATTTTTTCTAACTATCGGCTCAACATTTTATTGAAAATTTAAAATAACATGTAGTACGTTCTACTTACAAATTCCGAATCCTCAAATTTAGTTACTTTATGTTGTTTTTGTTTATATATAAAGGTGCATTGCTAATTCATCGCATATGTAAATTTTCTTTAAAACTGTATTCATGATATTGATACCCAAGTCATATAGCCTATTTTTTCATCGCATTCGCGTATTATACAGTCGTTTCCAATGTAATACCAGACAACTGATGATGGTTGTCAGTGATGTTTTCAAGGGGGGAGGGGGGTGGGGTGAAAATGAAAATCCAGGGGCAACGGGGCCGGTCAAGTGGAGGGTACAACGAGCCTGAGTAGCTGTTGTCATGGCAACGGTGATAATTACAACAGTAAGTGTCATCCGCGCATTGTCAATAACACGAAACATTCCAATCGGTTTTGAATTTTGTACCAATGATGGGTTTGTCAGAATTGCAGAGTTACTAGGGCATTTTTGGACGATCAAAAAATGTAATTTTATTTTTCCTTCTGTTTAAAGTACACGTTGGAAATGGTTTGGTCTTTTAGAATGGTTTTTGGTTTGAACTATTTGTTAAGCTACTAGAGTGAGGTCTCTCCGTATTTGTGTTGGTATGTAAATAAGTGAAAGCATATTGTTTTGAAGAAAAATACACAACTAGTACTAAAACATCTCGCTTGGTGACATTATTTTATTTAAATAGTTTCTCATCAGGAAGACATCCACAACTAAAAATTTTATTGTAAGAGTCATTTTCTCTGCGAATTTGATTGATTTAGAATTGCTCAGCCACAATGATATGATAATCAATTGCATATAAAAGTATTAGATATTCAAAGCGCTAAATTGAATAAATGCGAGCGAAAAAGTTGATTTTATAGATTTAGGAGGTAAGTTGTCTTTGGACGAGCGATTACAAATTTTGACGACAATTCTTACACATAAAGTTTGATTTTAATTACAGTTAAATATTAATGTCAGTTAATATTTTGTTATGTCAAAGAATATAAGTTTTCGTTTACGAAAAGCATGTATTTTGGTTCCAAAGGAAAAACTATGAGCCAGTTCCTAAAAATGGTTATCAAATAAATACTTTGGCGAAAACTGATCAGCTAACACCATTTAACCAAGTAGGTCCAAACTGCGATGAAATAAATGTAAAGCGATCCCCGAGGCGGATGGAAATATTCAAATGAACACCTGAGAATAACAAACAGAACATCCGAGACTGAATTTTCTTGTCCACTTTAGAAAATGAAAAAGAAACAAATGCAGAGGGCATTGTAGCCGCCGGTTATGGCACCCATGGGTAAACGCGTAACCCCAATTTGAATAAGGCGTTACTAGTCCTTACGCTTGACCCGGGGTGGAACTGCCCACGATACAAACTGCCCCCCCCCCCCCTACAACGGACAAGGGGGGGAGGTCGTAAAGTTAACGTTATTGCGATACAAACAGCACATGCTAATGGGGGAGACATAACGCTGTCTTTCGTGGTTTCAAATATTGTAAAATGCCTTAAACCGATTTAAGGGTGTTGGAGAAATTTTTGGATGGAGCTCAAGTTGTGTTTGGTGTGAAAGTTTTGACTATGCATATAATTGTTCCGGTGTCTAGGAACTTTTGAGTCTTCTCTTTTCCAGGTAATTGTTGATAAAACTTCTTTGTCAATTTGACACGTTTTTACACCTAAAAATGCCACTGTTAGTACTATTTTTAGTTTTGGTTTGATAATCAAGTTGTGATAATCATAATATTATAAGACTACTCCATAACATTTCCCGTATATATTTAGAAAATGGGATCCTCCTTCAACTTTTTTCTGGATACCTGTTCCTTAACTCTTTTCTATATTCTATTTATTTGTGTCAAAAAACCGATTTTTAGCAGTATTTTTACATTTGACCATTCTTTCCATAAGGTCGTCCCCATAAGGCCCCCGCTTTTCTGTTCATAGTGCCTGTTCATTAAACAACTTTACCAACTTAGTGGCTTTATGAAATAAAGACCCTATCTTTGTACATATAAATCGTCTCAGAAGCTTACACTTCTTCTGTGTTGCGGTAAGATTGATTCTAACTATATCCGTAATCTGGTAACTATAGAATTTACACTGAGGACTTGAACCCTTCAATGAACGTATCCCAATCCAGTCTCTATGTTTCGGTTTCACTGTATTTTCCTCCACTCTACAACAAAGTTTGCAATTTAAAGTACTACCCACATTTTCTTGTCCATCCAATACTTTTTTTGTGTTCTGTAATGTTCTCGTATGTTCCAGGCTATCCGGTGTACAGTCCCTGGATGTACCTGCGAGTGCTTCACCCCCGGCAAGCTGCATATTCGCTACTGCGAGTCTTGCTCTCACGGCTGGGTACCTCATGGTGAGTAAACACATTTATTTGTACTAGTACACACTAAGGTGTCCAGAAGGTTGCATGGTTTGTTCCTCGGTATTTTCTTGATAGAATCAAGGAAACACAATCGCAACGAAACAATAATCGGGTGATTTTCACAAAAGAAAGAACTTGAAAAGCATTTCTAAACAATTGGGTTGTGGTGTTGAACTGTGAAATGATTTGTTGTGCATTTTGGCGTTGATTTACTTGTTTATTTTTGATAATTATAATTATCTCCCTTGATGGCATTACTGTACATATTGAATCAACTCAGAGCACATATGTACAGGTTTTTAAGTGAATGAGTACTAAGTGATGTCTTAGTGCTAAGGAGTGTTTACCAATGTCCGTGTTGTTTTTTGTTGTCAAAACTCTGTATACATATATCAAGAAGCCTACATTAGCTAGATGCAAACTGGAAAGAAAGAAAAAAATATATTTTAGTTTAGGGGATAGTACTGTGTTTATTTTTGGTCTCAAATTTGTATGTCCCTAATCTGTCTCCAAAATGAATTTTATTTGGATTTACGACGAAACATTAGAAACCATCTTAAACTAGACAACTCCCCAAATGTTGTACAGTTACAAATTAATTTTTGTGTGTAACAAACCCCTTAAGATATTCCATATTTATACATGGCTAGACTCCAGACTCCAGTTACTTCTATGGAGAATTTTAGATACGCCGGATCCGAATGCCCCAAGGACGCGATAAAACTCGCCGAGTCATCTCTCCGTGAAACAATAGCGTAGCTGAAGGGACTTTGACATAAACCTGAGGCGGGGGCGATTTTTGGACCCTAAGTGACCGGCTCCCTTGGGGCTCCATGCAAATCCTAACAGCCCATAAACTGGAATCCGTAAATGTACGGGCTTTAGTGACCATCGAGACGGATAGGTTCGGTGGTACAGACGCGTAATGAAATGTGTCAAAATTTACATGTGTAAAGCCAAGAGGGTAAGTAAGTTCAAACTGAATAAATAACGATAAAATTTATTCATAAAATGTTTTGCACAGGTAGTTGTTACCGAACTACGTTAAGTTTTAATAGAGATCAAAATTTGCAAACCAGCGTTATGCAATAAACTAGTTTTTGGCATTTAACAAAATGTAGGTTAAACTAAACTCACAGTCTTTAGGTACCACCACGTTAATTTACAAATAATTATAGGATTCCTTAAGAATTCAAATTTTTTTCGCATGCGTCTTCGAAACAAAACACAAAATATATGGGTGAAATTCACTACGTACATATATTGAAATAGCTGCTGCGTAACGTTACAATATTTGGCTTTCATACGGTCGTATAAATTCCTAGCTTAATATTTTTTTCTTATATTTTATAATGTCGAAATGTTGAAAAAATTAAACTTTCCAGAGTAATTTTACGCTGTATTCCTACAATGGTTTTATTTCGGGTTCTCCATTTTTTAGCATATAACCATTACTGGCTTAAGCATTCGGTTATATTGTAGATGTTTTTTAAGCGTAAATCGAAGTTTACTTGTAATTCATTGCTACGCCATTGGAAGGGTTATTTACTAAAATATTGCTATTAAAATTTAAACCGCCGTTGTTAGTCCATTTACACCAACAAGTACCGTACCCTAAGCCAAACAAAGACAATGACTCAAAAACCACCGAAACAAAACACAAATCAAAGACAAAACAAAAACGCAAATGAATTCCGACGCCTCGAAGCCGTGAGACGACGGAGACCAATTTGGAAAATTGATTTGGAGGGCGAACGAAAATCGATGCCGGTTTCCATACAGCATCATGTAAATTTATTCATGGTTAAAAATAATGAAAGGTGATACATTCGGAGGCGACGGGGACGCGGGTGCGCCCGTGTGTGTGTGCGTGTACGTTGGTGTGAGTGTGTGAGAAGGAGGGAAGTATCAATAACATCAAGAGGTTGATTATACTTGCATGGGTGCGAGAAGCGAGCTGTTTGTTGCGTCGTTGCATCGAAGTTTGGGGGAGTTTAAGTTGTTTTGTTGGTAGTTTGTCTTCTGTTTTCGATTTGTGGTTTATGTTTTTGACTATTTAACAAGGATTTTTTGTGAGCGGAACAGTGTTTACGCAGGTACCTAAACGATATTCTCATTACGACGTTACCCGAGGAAATTGAAAAAAAATCTTGACTTCCAACTTATATCGAAAACAATTGAACTTCGAACGTTCAAAATAATTGAAGCATATAACATTGCTAGAGTCAATACTAGACGGTTTTACTTCGTGACCACCCCATGCACATAAAACATGTCTCCCACCAAGACATTATTTTTACTTGTCGCCCCCTCAAGACGGTAGCGAGTCGTCCTCAGCCTGTATCTGGCCGGGTCATCAGTGTATTTGCATGTAATTGTGAGGTTCGCTTGTTTTGCAATTCAGAGCGGCTCTAATTGTGCTACCAGACACGCCACCCCCCCCCCCCCTTGCTCATCACCTCCCCCGAAATGAGTCCCGTGCTCTGATAGGATCAGAGGATTTATGGGACGACGGTTCCTGGCTTGGTAGTAGTTGGAAAACTGTGTTTGGAAAGTAAAATGTTTGCTACTTGTGGACATGTATTGAATAAATCATAATTTTGTGGTAACATAACTCAAAGACCGCTTTTCTCCGTGGGCAAACCTTTTTTCACTGACATAACATAACTTACCGAGTCCTAATCGCATCCAATCACAACTCAACCTGAGTGACGTCACCGTGAACTCTCACCTCTAGGACGAGTGGCTAGTCGACTTCGTGCAGTCAACGAATGGTTTATACGCCACATGACCGAGGGGAAATTAGCCAGATAAAATCGTGACCCGGAGACAAGCAGTGCCAATATTTTGTGCGGCCGTAGGCTCTCGGCATAAACCATGTAGAATTTGAGCGCTACCAGCTCTACCTGGTGATTTATAACTCTATTACACCAGGATCTGCGAGGCCGATAGTCGGAGATAATTGGTCGGTAGAGGCATCGGTGGAGCAGAGGTGGGGCTTGGACAAATACAGTGGAGTAATGAGCTGTTGGATGTTGGAGAAGGATGGAGTACGAGCTGTTGGATGGTGAAGATGGAGACAGAGGGCTCTGGAGTATGGAGTTGGATGGTGTTGGTAGGAAATGAAGAATGAAGGATTAGAGGGAACAAGATGAATTTGAGTTTTGTTGGAAAGTAGTATTGGTGGAAATAAGCGAAACAGTGGACAATCAGAGGAGAAAGAAAAGAAATTAGATTTGTTGACTAGTGGATATGATTGAAACTGAAGAAGGGAAAAATTTAGAGGTCAGATGGATTTGGGTTTTGTTGGGCAGTGGTGTTAGCAGAAAAAAAGGAAAAGGGTGGGCAATCATAGAAGAGCCTATGAAAAATTTGGATCTTGTTGGATGGTGGTGATGATTGAAAATGAGTGGAGAATGTGAGGGAACTCTAGAATGATTAGGGTTTTGTTGGACAGTTATATTTGTGGATAACGAATAGTGGGGAGTTGAGAATAGGTTGTCATCATGGAGTCTACATCTTCGTTAGGAATATCTCTCTATAATTTTATCGATGGCGTCTTTGAGATTGTTCACGAATTCTTCCTGAAAAATCCATTCCACAGAGGAAAAGTCTAAACTAACACACACAAAACAATTAAGAGTGTTAACTACCTCGTTATTGACTCACAACCCTCGCACTACTAACTATTGATGGTAACATACTGTGTGTTCTATAACAGAATGTTCCTGCCGTTATACAAGCAGCTCGTCGCCCCCGTCATTTCTGATTCGCCGCGACCACGGGACCACGGGACGACGGGACTGCCATGCCCGGTCTATCACGTAGCGAGTCGATTACCCACGCAATTATCCGTTTTCATTCACGATTGCAGAATCGGGTTGCGGGTTAAACTCGCAATTTGTGGGACGCATGAAATCGCCGCTCCCGGTCGCCGAAGATGGCCTCTTAGTTAATGCTGACTTAATAACATCAATTTTTCTAATAGTCGGTCTCCCTGATTCTTATCCTCCCACCGCTCCTGAACCCGTCCACTTCTTGCTCGGTTTCGATGAGTTGGTCGATGTGGATGTGTCTTTTTGTTTAGTGCTGTTAATAGTGGCTACGTTCAGAGTGGGTTGTGAATATCATTAGATGATTTTACAAGTTTGGGGTTGAAGTTGAACATTCAATAATGTTATGTAGCTTTCTCAATCCCGTGGCTGTTGAAAAACTCTGATTGAATTTTTGAATAATTGCACTTAATTGGTAAAAGAGTTTCATTAAATCTAGGACATTATACGTTAAATATATATTAGTAAATTCAAACCTTCATTACACACATTTTTGAACCACGCATGCTATGCATTTGAAAAAAAACTAACAATGACATTGGATTATAATTTTAAATTATACAACAAATCAAAACTACCATACGAGTCACATCGCGGACCATACAAAAATATTACAATTGCCATTTGAAACTGACGTGAAACATTTTATTCACACATTTTATGCATTGCTAAATCCAACCAACATGAATATCCTAGGAACCAAGGTGTAAAAAATATGCGATCGTAGTTACAACCATAAACATGTTTTAATTCACAACTTTGACGAATGGCGTGGGTCTATAAGTGATCTCACTCTAGTAACAGGCAATCTGAGTCTCTCGTCGTTCCACGCAGTTTCTCGCGGTCAAGACACTGTCCGGGGGGAGATATCTAGGTGGCCGTGGATCGTGCATAATTCACTGCCACATCAATCTCCCAGATTACCCGCTCCCCATCCCCCAGAGACGAGATTCAGGAGGCAGGACATTTAAATTAGCCACATGTGTTCTCGGCCTTCATGGAACAAATATCAACTGAGGGTGTAGCTTTTGGAATAAAGAAAACTCGTGGTAAAGAGTGAATATTTTGTCGAAAACTACGGGTATTCGGTTTGATTGGGTTCAATTATATCATAGACTGTTTTGTAATTCTGTTTTATCTTTGTTTTTTAGTGAGACG